TTCCAAAATATGTTGTATATCTTATGTAATTACGATACGATACCTTGAAAGGAGACAACATCACACTTCCTTGAGAATATTTCCTGACACTTACTATCATAGACATTATAAGAAATGAAGCCGACACTACGCATGATTTGCCATTACTTTTATGTACCAATAGCTAATATAGAATAGACAATAACAAATATTTCGGTCAAAGACACGCGCAGTACAAAATATACATGTATAGTTCAATGACTCTTCGACCAAAACTCCACGTCATGGCACAAATGTGTTTGCCAATAGCGCTTACAACACCGGAACTTCTACTAAATTCTGTCAGATAGCAATGATTTCTACCGGAGATGTTGTTTTTTTTCTAACATATAAGGGCATCCTCGCGCGACAATATTTCTCGTCAATAAAACGAGGTTATTATACTACAACAGCGAAATTCGTGTACATCATATCAAGAATTCAAGACCATGATGTTAGTCAATAATATGATTTATGTACACGGTAAAATGAATTGCTAAAACGTATAACATTAACGAAGTATTACTAGCACTCTTGTACGAGTCACAGTCAGTCAGCCATGAAAACAAGAAAATAGGATTTACATTACAAAATTAGCAAAAAGGTCGGATTATAGTGAGTGGTAGCAAACATCAGCAATGTAAATAACGATTCAGTGATAATTAATAACAAACTTTATGTAGCAGCTCTTTACTTTTATATAATATGTGTTTTTCAGGCGATAATTTATTATTTGATAAATCTCCAGAATCAAGTTACAATCAGGACGGGTGACCACAACAGCGTCACATCTTACCTGACGAAGTACCATATTTTTTTCATTAGAGGCTCAGTATCAGATCACGTTATTTTCCTGATATGGAAGTTAAAAAATCTTCAAGTGATGAAACTGAAATTACTGCTGGTTCAATAGAAGTCCGGATTACCATGATATCTAGGAACAACCTAATACTTAATCGTTGAGATATGTTTTAGAGCCAGATATATATGAAGTGAAAATTTTGTTATCAGAATGTTAAACAGCGTTTTGTTGAAAAAAAAACAACATTGCCTACAAATGCTTTGGCATTTTGTCAACAAGTTCGTCACAGACTAAGTTGTCTGATTTTTTTTTAATCTAGACCTAGTTTTATTGTGACAATAATATTTTTGTCTACGTGTCTAGTCAACGAATTCTCCAAAATGCTTGACGCAGCAAACATATTACTACTTATAAATAAATCAACACAATAAGGGAAAAATACATTCCTGTCGAGTGTGCCCTGATAGGAATCGAACCCAGATCTACGACGTAACAATATACGGGTCTACCGACGTCAGCTGAGTGACAGACCGGTACATAACACATCAATCAGCCACACCCACTCTTTTTTACATAACCACACCCCTCTCCTATTTTTCTTGAAATTCCCTTAATGTCAACCCTAACCGTTGTTCCCTGTGGAATCTCTTTGCTAACACTGTAATAAAACAATGAAAACCACGTTCCTGTCTAGTGCTATGACAGGAGTCGAACCCGGATCTCTGGCGTGAAAATCCACGGCTATACCAACTGAGCCAAAAAATGAAGAATACACCGTCGGCTGAGTGACAGAGACAGGACTTTACACAGATGCAAGCTACTCCAATCCGCCCCATTTACAATATATGTATTAACTAATATACTACCTGCAGCAAACTTCATTTTCCATGATGCTGGTTGAAACACCCACTCACGCTTCCTAACAGACACACACACAAAACCTAAGAAACAAACAAAATTCAGAAAAAGAACAAAAAATAAGATATTACCATATGTTTCGACATCGTGAAGCAAGTAATGTGTAATTTTTCTTCCCTGAACAATACAGAATATATAACTTCATATTGTAACGGTTTGTCGTTCACACTCCACGTTGTGGCGCAATGTCGTTGTCCTCCCTAGCAATACCGGAATATCTGCCAGGTAGCAACACTTAACGACTTCTTCGTTCGACAATGTATCACTGCATCAGTAAAACGGAGATTAAGAGGTTATTAATCATAAACTCCTTGAAACAGCAATAAATCTCTGTACTTTATATATAAATTTTTTTCGGAAGATAATTTGATATTTGATATGTATCCTGAATCAAGTCGCTGGGATTAGAATAATCAGGACAGGAGTATTTGTGCGTCGCTTCCTGTCTGACTTACAACCATATTTCTATTTTTGTTACTATAAATTTGAAATGAAGTCACAATATCAGATCATGTTTGTCTTTCTCTGTCTAATTTGGATTTAAAACTATGGAGTTATGTAACCGGAGTTTCTGCTGGTTAAACAGAATTCCGGATTTCCATGATATCTAGGAACAACCTAACGCCTAATAGTTGAGATCGTGTTTTAGAGCGAGGCCTTTTTAGAGAATCGGCGTTTTTTAAAATTATGAAGTGATTTCATATATATATATATCTATATATATATTAGCAATTTAGACAACGGTTTTGTTTACATTTTTATTTTTTGTTTTTATGTGAAACAATATTACCTACAAATTATTTACATTTGTCAACAAGATCGTTAGAGTAAGGTATGATGAATCAATAATAAAATTATATTTAATTTTCAGAGATATTATCAAAGTTTTCAACCCGAGGATGGTTTTGCTATCGTTTATTTATGTATATTTGAAGTCTTGATGGCCGAGTTCAGTGCCGTCTTACCAATGACTATTTCAAAACACATTAAAATGAAACGCTGGCTACAGAAATACGAGAGAAAATGAATTAAATCAATATGTTGTCCACACCACTTCAATATTCTACTGCATACTGTGTGTCGTGATATAGTTGTTTGGAGACATAATTCTCTATAGTCTAACGAATGGTATGTTTGCTATTGTGCTAATGTACTAACTAGGTGCACCAGATAATCTCGTGTTAACTTTGACCACTCAGTGTTAATTACACTACAACTGCTGTTTACAATGTCTCGCATACCACACAGGAGGCATAAAATTTGATATACACAAATTTTGTTAAATCAAAAATTATCACCGCATCATTTGTAAATTATCTTGTCTAGATCTCGTTGCACCACAAAAGCTTCAAACGATTCTTGTTTACAATGGTTTTAATTTTTTTAATAGGTCGATTACATAATGAGTGTGTAAATGCATTGTTTGAAGCACTCATTGACCGGGAGTTCCCTCACTAATCATTCTGTCAGTTAAGGACAATGCGTTGTACTGGCGGCTCCCAAATTGCCGTTCTTGTATTCTATTATAATAATCATAGCCTTTAAAACCAATTTCAATGAAAATATTATTTGAATAACTCAAAGTCACGGGACTGAAAACATGTGTTCTTGTTACAACTTAACATTCTGGGTTATATTGTTGAAAAAAAAAGAGAATAAAAAAAGGTAAAAAGAAAATGAAAAATGTTGTTGTTGATGATGATGATGATGATGATGATGATGATGATGACGACGACGACGACGACGACGACGACGACGACGATAATGATAATGCAGTTTCAATTCATATTAAGAATTATTCTTAGTAACACAGAAATTTCAACATCATAACCTTTTTAAGAGTCAATATTGCATTTTTTCTAATCTGTTAATAAAGATAATTCGTAATAGACAAATAAACTTATTGACAAATCTACATTAATTATTATACAGTAACCGTGGAGTAATTATCAGTGACCGAATTCATCGTCATTTACCTCCCAGTTATAACAGATACAAAGGTTTTATTAAAGGTAATCTTCATACCTATTTTCGTAAAAAAACATATCTTGTACATACCATTAACTGAGATTATAATTAGGTACCAACATTAATTATTCCACAATCTCTTAAGTTTTTATGAATGTGTTTTCTAAAATAGGAAAGTCGGAAACGATAATACCATTAAAATACATGTCTCTGAGAATACCTATCATAACAATTGTTTTTATTTAATCATTTCCTAGATACATGCACTAGAGACGTATATAACATAACCTATCTCTGCGCCAAGACTTACAAAAAAAATGTATATTTCACGGTTAACTAAAATCTGTTATCGCTGACTTCATTTACCAACAGTAGGCGTTGTTATTTCTACTTGTGAGAAATATCGTATTCCATTGTGAAAGTTCGAAGATCAGAAATATTGATATGAATCAAAACATATCCTTTCTTTTAACCGTCACGTAGCATTACAGTGTAAACAGCCCTCTTACTAATCAATTTGGCTATTTTAAGAACACGGAAGGGAATCCTCATTTTACCCACAATTCTCAATGGGAATTTCCCGATGAGAACGAGGCACAAATGCCGAAGGTGTTATCCTAGTATTCAGTGAGTATTGCCAAATTTATCCGTATGATATCTTTGTCATCCCAAATTAAAGTGCCCGTATAATTGTTTCAAGTGCTAAAATTGGATCTATTTATGTGCATTATCTGATTATTTATCGTAAAGCCATATTTGTTTTTGTCAATTTATTAATCAGTCCCGTGGTAGTTTTGACTAGAACTCAACCCAGTGCTCGGTTTGTTTACAAAAAGCGCACTTTTCAATCGAGTACCATCTGTCTCTAAAAATCGATGTCCTTTCCATTTTTTCGCAGTTTGAAGCATCCTTATAGCTAACTTATGATGGAAAGTGTTTTATTTTCAACATAAAGTCTTATTTCTAGAAATATTTATCTTATTTACGTGAAGGGGAATTCCTATAGGTAGACCATTATTGACAGTTGCCATATATGGAAGCTGTCGCTACTGCGCATGTGACGCTACCACTTGACACTTCAGTCTTGTAAGATAATATATTTAAAGTGGGCTGTTCCAATATTGCCCCAGTCAGATAAATAGTCCAAACCAATGAACATACCCATCTGTATTACAATAGCTCATCTGGTAATCGGACTATAAAGAAGACAATTATTGGAATATTATTTAGTGTTTACTACCTGAAGTGATCTACGGACATATAGGACTGGACTGTTTTTATTTAATCAAAATTCATGAATTGCTCAAAAAATAGGAAAGGGACAGCTTTTCCTGAAAACTATTACAACATGAGCAGTATTTCAGATTTTGCAATGTTTCGTTTTAATTTGTGGCACAAAAATCCGTTTTTTTCTCATCATGCAGCGGCTGTGGCAGCAGCTCAAGCGGGAAACCCAGGTATCATGGAAAATACTTCATTTGTACCCAATCCACTAACTTCTCCAGCACTGATGGTGTTGGCATCAACAGCTGAAAATCATGAGGGGGCACGGATGCCCGCTCCCCCCCACCACTTCCAAGGACAAAATGTGGAGAAGGACATGCCAACACCTTTTGGTACACCTCCCTTTACAATGTACAGGCCCGGGGAACATTTTCCCCCTCCCCTGTACACACCCGTTCCCCCATATGTACGTGCAAACCTGGAACGAGGGATGGGGCTGATCAACCCCGGGGGAGGGAGTGCATTTCGTCCTGTCAGTAATCCTGAAGGTGTAGAGAACTATCATTCAGCATTTTCTTTGGCTAAGAAACCCAAACTTGACGAGTCCAGCTCAAGTTATTCCTCATCGGAAAAGTTGGACAGGGACAGTTCTGACCCTGCCCAGGAGGGTCTGGAGAGTAAGGGATCCACACCGTTCGTTAAGGAAGAACGCCCCTCCAGTATTAGCTCTGTAACCAATTCTGAAAACTTTTCGGATGGGGGAGACTTTGACAGTGGAACCCCAGATCCGGAAGGCAGATCACTCCGAAGTAAGTTGTTAATTAATTTGTTACCTGAAAAGTTTTCTTATTCTGACAATTTTTTTTTTATTATTATTTCATGAAATACTAATCCCTCAAAAATATCTTTTTTCTTATTGAAAATTATTAAATAAAACATAATATTGTATCTCTGATTCAATATTGTACCAGAGAAATGATTCTAATGGAATAATCTGTCGGTTCAAACTTAGTTATTGAACTGACATTTGATCAGTAAAGAGAACGGGAGCTCATGCTGACCTAACAAAATACTGAAATGATTTAATCGTTTAAAAATCAATGAAATTGAGCAAGTAATATTTCATATTTTATTGAAATTCATTATATCTGTACTGCACAGCTTGTGTGTGGTAGTGATAATTAGTGGAAATTTATCATTTCCATCAGCTAAACTGCCATAGAAAAAAAAGCCATTGCCTTGTTTAATATTACAAGCGCTGGACTGATCCCTTTGTCCAAACCTCGTTAGGTAATACAAATTAGGATTCTTCTATTTAAACTTTCCACAATTTTCCCGTAACCTTTAAATTGTAGAAAGAAGAATGACTTTAATCTATTCATGAAAAACCCATCAGTTGGTGACAGTAGGGTCACATTTCTGATAGTTAACAATTATAATAAATATTATTTACAGTTGAATCATTATGTGTGGCTATGTACACTGATATTATGTGTGTCTGTACCCACTGACACCAGCTATATATAACCTACAACCATTGTGCATTACTGCTGTCTCGTTCCGCATATATTTTTGTTTAAACTTTTTAATAATATTGGCATGGTTATAATCCACTTACAGTCCTCTGTCTACTGATCACCAGAAGTCAGTACTCTGCAGACCTATTATTCCAGTAGGTTTTCTCAAAAGTCCTGTGAGGATTTGATAGAGAAGAAAAACTATGTTTACTTGTATTGTGTTACGAATAACATTGTAACAATATCTGAAGTTTCTTTCTACACATATCAGATGAAATATCTTCTTAAGTATTATATATGAAAGGTTTCGAAACAATTTTCATTCACGGATGAAATATGTTTTATAAAAAACTGTATACATTTTTGTTTCAAATCAATTTCATAATAGTTCAGAAAAATAAATTATTGCTCTTCATATATTAACAATACATGGAACATTTCGTACGTTGTGTTAAAGAATTGTAGTTTAAGTGAACTTGAATTAAAGCCAAAGAAAAGAGAGAGAGAGATAGAGAAAAAATCACATTAGCTATATCAGTTGTACTTGTATCATCTTTTCAAAAACAGGGACGGATAAAACTTCATATTTTCATCTATAAATGAAAGTCAGTATAATTAACTTCTTCCTCTCATAATAATTAATTTAATTAATTTTTTTCCAGTAATTGATTGTAATTGAAAGAAAAAATTCAATTTTCATTCTTGTTCATGTTGTTATTCTTGCCCAATGACCAGATGTACACAATGACGGTCTCTCAATACAAACTATCATGATTTGAAATTATAAATACACTTTAACATGCTAGGATAAAATTGAATTGCTATTAAATATGCAATTTTTAGTAATTGTCATTGTTAAACATTTGATATTAGAGCTTGTTAAATATTGTGTTGTATGACTGTTTTGATCAGGTCAAGGGCTGTAAACTTAAATGAAAATTAATTAATGTTTAGTATCTACTTATCAATTAACATATTACATATAGTGGAACATTTCATTTCCTTTCTGATAAATTTTTCATAGTAATTTTCATTTTGTTTATCATATATAAATATATTTCTTATATCTAATACTGTAACAACATGTGTCACGGTACTCCCTTTTGTACCGCTAACTCTAGAGTTTAAATTTTTTTTTTCAAATAATTACTGAGTGTATATAAAAAGCTTGGAAATTATATTAAAAAAATGAATTGGATATATATATATATATATATATTTTTCTTTTGGGGGGAGGGGGGAAGGAAGTAAACATCTGTTTTGCTTGTCAACACGAATTTGAATAGATGGTGTTAATTTGACGGTAAAGTACATCATTGCACGTCTCCCTTCAATAATGGACACTTTTATTACAACCGATAGAATTGTTATACTTTAGGGAATATTAGTTAGAATTTTAAACCTAAAATATTATTTCACTCTGGTGACCAGACAGTTGTCAATTAGTGGCCATGCGAAAGTACAAGATATCCCCCTGTAGGCGAGGGTCGAAAGTGAGGGTCATTCCTTCAGTTCTTCTCATGTGAAAATAGTCCTGTAACCATTTTCTAGGGAGATTAAAGATTTTGGAAGTGATTAAAATAAAATGGTCTCTTCTCAAAATTGAAGGAATTGCAGTTACTGTGATAGACAATAATGTTGTTAAGGATCCATGGTAAAATAATTCTGTGCAGAATTGTTCAATAAAGGAAGGTCAACCAGTTCTTGTTATAATTTATTATAATTAAGACAGAAATTTTACTTTGTTTTATTACATTAAGTCGAACTTAAAACATACTATATTGTTATTTTTCATTCAAAATAACATTATCACAACAAAATTTAAATAGAAACTTCACTGTTGTATTTTTCATGGAAACATATTCATGAATAGGATTACATTACCGGTAATGCTGAAATTGAGGATATGAAAGCATATTGTTATTAAGCAAATCTCCTTTGTACTCTTTAAACTACATAATATTAAGATTTATAAAATTTGCAGGTCTGTTTAACAACACATTTTTCGTAATTTTTTTTATTCTATTCCTTTCAATGTATTTCTCTTTCACAAAACAATATGCAAACCTACACAAAAAACCATAACTACAAATTATGCACATTAATTATGCAATATTATGTTCATAACCAGGAATAAAATATCAATACCATGTACCAATTTTTAAAGTGTTATATAGTTAGAAAAAAAGTGTTAAAGATGATCGAGAAAATTAATTCTGGTGTTTTGATTGATTTTAGAAATGAAATGAATTTTATTTAGACATTTTCCAATTAATTATTCCACAAATTATCTTTCATTCATTCTTTCAAAATTTTTATGGAATTTAATATACATATTTTTCTTCACCACCCACCTCCTCCTTTAATTTCATTTTTGATAGGGCAGTTAGAGATGTGTATTCTTCTACGTGTAAACTGAGAACTTGAATTATTTTTTCGTTTTTTTTCTACCTGAATTATTCAACAGTTTTGCTGACATAAATTGGGAAAATAGGATATTTTCTCTGCAAATATGCACACAATTTTGTGAAATTAAAACTCTTTGTTATTGGAACCTGTTTTCTGTTTTAAGTGATATATATTAATTGTATGTACTTGTGTATCAATATAGAAATTACGTTTAATGTGAAATATGGGAGACACACATTTTTTTTTATTTAACATCAGTATCCTAACAGGCTTTTCATTATTCTGAAAGCTCCGCCCCATACCTTCTTACAAGTGCACCTTGCTGCTTAATGAAACTTCCAACATTCTCTGACGAATTATTTCTTAATATTGATTTCTGACAAAATAATGACTTCAGTTGATAAGTTTTGATAATTTAACAAATTAAATTTGAAAATTAAAATTAAACAAAACAGGAAACTTTTTTTTTCTTGAATTGAGATATTTTTGTTTGTAACTCTGAAGGTTATGCTGGTATACTTTATTGTTGAAATAGACATTTTAAAGACTGATACAATCAAAGACATTTCTCCTGGTGCAGAAAGGACTCAATCATTTCCGGTATATGTAGTGATGTTATTCTTTATTATTTATTTTCTTACAATTGATGAATTGTGATTAAGTTATATCAAGTTGGCTTGGACGGACATACTTGAGAAGTCTTAACCCGGGAGGTAACTGGAGAATCTGGGGAAAACCAATATAATAATGATAATGATATTGCCTATATATATGCCAGATATATTATTTGTTGGTTTTAAATATTATGTGAAATAATCATATATGCTTCCATTTTAATACTTTTTGTCAGTTCCTGTAGCACTTAAAAAGTCTGTAGATCAAATATAAGAGATGGTGTGTTGTGTCAGTAGAAGGTTAGGATGGCCACAGTTATAAGAGATGGTGTGTTGTGTCAGTGAAAGGTTATGATGGCCACAGTTATAAGAGATGATGTGTTGTGTCAGTAGAAGGTTAGGATGGCCACAGTCATAAGAGATGGTGTGTTGTGTCAGTAGAAGGTTATGATGGCCACAGTTATAAGAGATGATCTATTGTATCAGTAGAAGGTTAGGATGGCCACAGTTATAAGAGATGATCTATTGTATCAGTAGAAGATTATGATGGCCACAGTTATAAGAGAAGGTGTGTTGTGTCAGTAGAAGGTTAGGATGGCCACAGTTATAAGAGAAGGTGTGTTGTGTCAGTAGAAGGTTAGGATGGCCACAGTTATAAGAGAAGGTGTGTTGTGTCAGTAGAAGGTTAGGATGGCCACAGTTATAAGAGATGGTGTGTTGTGTCAGTAGAAGGTTAGGATGGCCACAGTTATAAGAGATGATCTATTGTGTCAGTAGAAGGTTATGATGGCCACAGTTATAAGAGATGGTGTGTTGTGTCAGTAGAAGGTTATGATGGCCACAGTTATAAGAGATGGTGTGTTGTGTCAGTAGAAGGTTATGATGGCCACAGTTATAAGAGATGGTGTGTTGTGTCAGTAGAAGGTTATGATGGCCACAGTTATAAGAGATGGTGTGTTGTGTCAGTAGAAGGTTATGATGGCTACAGTTATAAGATATGGTGTGTTGTGTCAGTAGAAGGTCAGGATGGCCACAGTTATAAGAGATGGTGTGTTGTGGCAGTAGAAGGTTAGGATGGCCACAGTCATAAGAGATGGTGTGTTGTGTCAGTAGAAGGTCAGAATGGCCACAGTTATAAGAGATGGTGTGGTGTGGCAGTAGAAGGTTAGGATGGCCACAGTCATAAGAGATGGTGTGTTGTGTCAGTAGAAGGTTGGGATGGCCACAGATATAAGAGATGGTCTGTTGTGTCAGTAGAAGGTTAGGATG